ACCTACCTACCTACCTACCTACCTACCTACCTACCTACCTACCTACCTACCTACCTATCTGTCTATCTATGTTGCTCCTTCCATTAGAGAAATGCCTTAAAAAAGTACGATTTCGACGACGGTTGCTGACACATTAGTTGTTGAATAACGAAACATTGGTAGAAAAGAAACATCAGAATTTATTTACAGAAATAACTCATCGCCATGACACGAGCTTGATCAATACCTTCTAACAGTTGCCTACAGATGAGTTGCAGTCCCTAAGAAATTGACGAAGTTGGATACAATATTGTGCAGTACTTTTTTATAGGTGCATTTATCTACGATCAAACGGAAACTGCATAACAAGTGGGACATGAGCAATCAACTAGGTGTACTGAAAACTTAAATTTATCCATTGTATTGTAGGCATGACGTCAGTGACTCAATTCATCATATCTGCATTTTAATGCGATGGAAATGTTTGTGATAAAAGATAAACAGCACCGGGACAGCTGTTTCGTCCTATTTGGGACTCGTCAGCAGTGCGTACTTCTTGTGTCCCCGACAGGACTTAAACCGCGAGCATTCGGGTTGGGACTTCAAACCCCTGAGCTACGCGTTATTCAAGCTTGATACTCTAAAAATCATCAGATCTGAGTACAGGATGGAAATCAATAAAACTGCATGCTTGTAACTAGCCCTTGAAATGTTTGCGGCTTTTACTAATGCTACTGAGTTAAATTCCATTGTCACAGTCACACAGAGAGGACAGAGATAAATGGGACGAAATTTCGTCCAAAGGACTATTTATATCACTGATAACCCAACTGATAACTGTCTACAAATTTAATTGAATGTGATGGGGTTCGAACCGAAACTCTTACGTGTTGAAATTTGGCGACAGAAACGGTCTTAGGGATCGTTCGGCCCCGATCGGTACGTATAACACTAGGTACGACAACTTACCTCTAACACATCAGTCGATGTTGGATCTGGGGAAATGGCGATGGAGCTACAAGTAGCTGGTATGTCGACACTAGCCGCATTGGTTGATTTCACTGGGCCACAACAGTCAGCCACTTTTGATACCTGTAAACAGCAAACCAGAACGAAGCCTGAGAAATTGGATATGGTCAAAAGTTGATTCAATGGTGATGGGGGAAGGAGGACCAAGCGTACAACTGGAACAAAAAGAAAAACGGGCAGAACAAAACTGATCCGACTATGTGGATTGTTTTTGGGGAACATATTCCCTGGGTGTCCATATAGTTGGACGGTAGGCTCTGAGGGTACTTACGGGAACTGCATTATTGTAGTGAATAGTGACACTATCTAGCTCGACTTACGGATGAGTAAAAAGCATATAACAGTAGCATTCCATATCCAAAATAACTAAACGAAGGCAACCTCGCAAACGTGCGGCAGACAATCGACGGAGTATAACACCAGCGAGAAGTTTCGAGACACTATTGATTAAGCTAATTCCTCTGTGGTTTTCACAAGATAATCTGTCACCTTTCTTGTAAACCGGTATGATGACAGATTCATGCCATTGCCTTCGAACTTCTTCAATCTCCCGCACTGTTTTCAAGAGTTTCCTGAGTTCCCAAACCAAAAATGGTTATTCTTCCTCCTCCTCATCCTCAAAATCCCATGGGGGAAGCCAATCCGGGCCGGAGGCCTTATTCTTTCGGAGATAACGTATTTCCTTTGAAACCTCGATTTTAGATAGAGGACTGATATGTAATGGCAGTATTTGTCCAGCTAAACAGTGCCTCAAAAAGTTCTGCTCATCGTTCAAGACGGCGTTGCTGCATATGAATTAGTGTGTCGTCAGACTTCTTAATTAACTCACTTACACGTACTTTGATTGAGCATGTACTCATATCTAAACGAAAAAAGATTGCAACTATTACCGACATTTGCAGTTATCTAGATATCTTTGCACTTACACATCCACCGTTTCTCGCGGCCATTCCGCAGGCTCTAGCCAACCGGAGGATGTACTGGAGACGTCACAAGTAGAACGCAAACTTACTACATGCACGACTAGGCGAGGATGAGAGGTGACATGCCAGTGACAAACTTGAGACGATGGATAGTACGATATTGTGTGAGTTTCTGAAGTTGACCGCAACTACATGCGATGGAAATGTTTGTGATAAAAGATAAAAGGGTACTGGACAGCTGTTTCTTCCTGTTTGGGACTCGTTAGCAGCACGTACTTTTTGTGTCCTGTGTTAGGACTCGAACCGTGAACATTCGGGTCGGGACTTCAAACCTTTATCCCTGATCTACACGTTCGACGGTCCTCATCTTGGGCGAATGGCACGATCAATTTTAGGGTAGCAAGCTTGGATTAGCCCAGTCGATTGTTCAGAGGCACCAGGCACTCTCTTTTCCAAGGAGTGAAACCCACACCCAACACCAACCGCATTCCAATGGGAACTCCACAACTCCACCCGTCAAACATCACCGATTGGAAACGGTCTGTCTAAACCCCGTGAAGTCCGAATGAAATTTCAATAAACAAAAATATGCACTTTTTGAGTGGGTTACTGAGCGAGGATGAACGTTTTGGCGGGGTAGGGTAAGCTGGTCTTCCCCCTT